GCGTGGTAGACCTCTCCTGACCCTCCCGTGGCTCCCCTTAGCAATGTGCTACGTCCATCTGCCTGTTCTGCTCCCCACTTTGTCTCTGGTGAAGCCGCTCACCACCCCTGCACCTCTGGCTTGTACCCCAGTTCTGTGTGAGTGAATGGATAAATCTTTAAAAATAAAAAAATCTTTTGAAACTCTCCAATTAATTATTCTTATCTACCAAGATATGCAATAGAATGGAGGAGATAAATCCTGAAAACAGATGAATCTTCTGGTAGGTAAAAATCAAATACTTATCCAGAGATTTGTGTTTGAAGTCAGTAGGAAGGTTCATGCATTCACCATTTATTTAGTGAAGGCCTTCTACTGTCTATAGAATAGTGGACAGTAGGATGTTTAAAATTTAATATAGGAGATTGTTTTAACATGCATAAAACTTAGATAAGACAGTATTTCATAGATAAATACATAGCCATTTCCTCATCTTAAAAAAGTTTGCATGACTCATATTAAATAAAGAGTGCTTAACTTGGCATTTGAGTTTTTCATCTGGCCTATGTTTGTTTTTATTTTTCATGTTTCTATCAGCAGTGTCAATGGAAGTATAATACAAATCACATGTAAAATTTCAGTTTTTCTTAAATTTATATTTGGAAAGTAAAAAGAAACTAATTTTATGTGCTTATTTAAACAAAAGTATAAAATGTAATTTTTACAAATATTTATTTGTGCATTCAAGAACTGGAGTGTAAACTAGAGGTGTGGGGCTAAGAGGATTAATCAGAGACAGAGTGGGGAGCAGAGTGGGGAGTAGTGGGCAAGACAGGAGAGGCCTGCCATGCCATATGTGGATTAGTTCTCTGGTGGGGATCAAACTCAGGCTCTAGCAATGATAATACTGAGACTTTAACTCCTAGACCACCAGACAGGCCCCTAAAATATCTTTTATATATCTCATCAATATTTAAACTACTTGAGATAATTTAGTTTTTTGTACTAAATATTCAAAATTCAGAACAAATACAGAGCAAGTTCTCAGAAACCACAGGTGGCTAGTTTTTTTTTTTTTTTTTTAAAGATTTATTTATTTGTACAGAACTGGGGTACAGGCCAGAGATGCGAAGGGTGAGAGGCTTCACCAGATACAGAGCGGGGAGCAGAACAGGCAGATCGACGAAGTACACTGCTGAGGGGAGCAGCGGGCGGGTCAGGAGAGGTCTGCCACGCCATGTGGATCTCCTCCAGGGCGGGTGGGGATCGAACTCATGCGGAAGTGGCTTTAGCTTTTTAGTGCAGTGCTTTAACCTGCTGCGCCACTAGGGAGGGCCCTGCTAGTTGTTTTTAATATTGCGTAGGCAGGAAACCTGCACTTACATTATTTCATGCTCATTTTTCTGTTATTTTACATTTCATTATACAACTCTACTATAATTTATTTATACATTTATTTTGTTGATGGAGGACATTGGGTTATTTACAATTTTTGGCTATAGCAACAGCCCTACTGTTAACATTCATGTTCATGTACTCTGGTGAATGCTTTTTATGTTTTTTGATTGCCTAGTCAATGAAAAGGAAGCTTTAGTGAGGCCCCAGAGCCATAGGCCTTGGGTAGGAAGACAACCTTGCCGGCAGAGGAAGGGTGTATCATAGGGTCTTATTTGACATTCTTTTTGGGGCATAGGTTGTTGGTGTGGTTGCACTTCTAGTACATGGAGTGGACAGTGTGTGGGTGGTTACATAAGCACAACATTTGCAGCAAATCATCTCACAGCAGCTGTAATTCTGGGCCAGCTGGTGGAGGGACAGGATGGCTGGATGATGCCACCCTGCAGCACAACACCAAGTGCAGGATAGTCTTAGGATTCTAAGTGTCTCAGATGAGAGGGAATTT